AAGTGAGAATGGGAGACAGGATGGATCTGTTCTGTTCTGTTTATTCCCTCTGGGACATCTGGCATTGGCCACTGTTGGAAGACGGGCCACTGGACTAGATGGACCCTTGGTCTGACCCAGAGTGGCTGTTCTGTTCCATCTCCCCATGGCTCCTGCTGCTGTGGTGAGTGCAGAGAGCCCAACCCCTGTTGCCATCCTGCACCAGGCCCCCTAGTAATCCTGAGGCTGTATCCCTCAGGGGCTGAGACTTGGAGGAAGTAGTGCCATGAGGGGTTAGGGCAAAGCAGAAGGGTTGGAACAGGGGCTGGGTTTGGGGGAAGGGTACAGATATACACCCAGGTCACAGGAACTGGTGTGCAGGCCGGGTCGTGGAACTGCTCAGGCCATAGATGTCCTGCTGGGCCATCAGCAAGGTTCCTCTAAGCTGAGCAACATGGCCCTGCAACTGCTTAATGAGCCCCCTCTCAAGGCTGCTGCGTATGAAGCTGCCTAGTTGGGGGGAGTGGCACTTCCCCCTCAGTGACAGGGAGGTCCCTTCCAGTTCTATGATTCTATGACAGCAGCAGCTTCCTGCTCAGCAGGTGGCTCGCTGCTCTGTAGCTGGGGTAGCACATGCAAGGACTTTCCTTCTCTGCTTGGTTAGAAGTCACCCAAAGCCACTGCCCATGTTAGTCCCCTACACTGCTGTTTTTAGCACACTGACTCGCGCATCTCAAAGTATAGGCTCTCTCATCTCAAAGTATAGGTGTACCCTAATTTGAAATGTTTTATAGCCTTCAGAGAAACATTTACGGTCCCTTGCAAAGCTGCTGTCTTGTGCTGGCAGCACAAAGAAATTTATTATTCGGACCCTTTTTAAAGTTGAAGAATATTATCTCTTCATCTTTAAAAGCTACCATTGCGCAAAAAAAAAAAACAAACCACCAAACACACACACACACCACACTGTCACTGCGAAACACCTGAGAATTCAGAAAGTGTTATGGAAAAAGAGTTTTTGTTATCTCCTGGAGCCTTATCCAAAGCCTGCTATAGCCAATGGAAAACACTTTTGGGGGGGGGAGCAATGTCTGAGTTTTTGTTTTTTAAAAGAACTGCACTGGGAAGTCTCTGGGTTTAAATACAGTATGATAGGCTTCTGTTTCAAAGCTGTGTCAAGCTGGTCTTTCAGAACTGTGCACTTCAAAATAGAGATTTTTGATTTTTTTTGTACTAAAATTATAAAATGTGCTAAAAAGTACTGGTACGTTAGGTATCACAAGTAAAAACCCACACAAGCCGCTGGAGGATTTGAGAGGGAAGTAGAAAGAAATGACATTTAGATGTGAGTAAGTTTAGATAAAGACAGTGCAACTGAAACACAAGCCAAAATTTTACAAAATATGTGGCTCTATTATCTTGTTCTGCAGATGCTATGCTATAAGGGTGCATCTACACTGAACCCTTAGCTCAAAATAATCTACACAGTTTGAACTATTTAAATTGCGTAGCTCATTTCAAGTTGATTTTGGAATAGAGCACTATTCCAAAACGTCCCATGATCCTTGTGGAACGAGGTTTACAGGAACATCGGAATAGGATGCCCATTATTTCAAAAGCTATTTCGAAATAACAGGTGTGCTGTCAAGATGCAGAAAATGCTATTTCGGGATACCGGAAGTATACTGAAATAGCGCCACTATCTAGATGCACTCTAAATGAACAGGGCATTGTGGAATCAAGGAGTAACTGAAATTGTTGTCGATACTGGAAAATGTTTTGGTGACACACAACAGAAGTTTTTCTACCGATGTGTTCAGTTGCTGGCTTTTTGACATGGTCTATTTGTCATTTGGATTAGAAACAAAATTGTAAGTAATTTCATATAAAAATTCACTTTGGAGACCAGTTCTTGGCAGCCAGCATACGTGTGTATTTATAAGTAGATTCAGTAAGAAATGTTCCCAGGCTCAGGATTTTTCCCAGCAGCCATTGGGCTGAGGCACTGTACACATTTATAGTAGTATGCATTTGCATGTCAACTACTATGCACTGTTTTAAACTGAATACTATGCTATTTACTGTTTGTTAAAATCTAATTAGGATTAGATTTGTTTTCCTTCCAAAGGAAAAGGAACACTCAGTGTAACACTCCTACTGGTATATATTTTATTTGAATGATATGGATGTTGGTCATATGGTTTTTCTCTGTTGTGCTTTGTGTAAGCACCATTTTAGGAAGGAAGAATATTACTTATCTGGCCAGATTCTCAGGCTATGTCCATCACTATGAGCATATGGATGAAATCCTGGTCCCATTGAAAGCAGTGTGGGTTTTATATTTCATGCACATGTAGAAAGTGTGTTGAGTGACAATAGCTGTCATATATAGCCTGGTGGAACAGGCTCAAAGAGAAAGGTATTGAAATTGTGGTCAGTGGACCACCAGTCCTTCCTGGTGGTTCAAAAAGTGACATGGAGTCAAATGATAGGGGTTGGGAAAGTGGAAAGAGTATTGTTAGTATTGTGATTACTTTCCTTTATGTTATAGGATTATTCCCATTATCACATTGGATACAGTGCCTGATGTTGACATTTTAGTAAATACCCACATGTATTTTAAAATAGTTATTGGTACAAGTTGAACCTCTCTAGTCTGGCACTCTTTGGTCCAGCAACATCTGTGGTCTGGCATGATTTTAGTTAGCTGGATGTCCACTTATCAGGGGTGTGAACGAGTATCCCCACAGTCCCACAAAGACTATTTACAGCCACCAGTCCTAGTTCTCAGTGTTCTGGGCTGTTGTTTGACTAAACTACCTATAAATGTCCTGTAAGAGCCTAGTAAACAGTGGAAGCATTGGTAATGCTGCTAGGCAATATTGACCTCCTGTGGTTCAGCAAATTCTCTGGTTCATCTCTGCTCAGCTCCTGAGAGTGCTGGACTAGAGATGTTCAAGCTATATTGTAATTTTTATAGTAGGTGTGACTTCTTATGGAAGGCCCCTGAAAGTCTTCCACTGGTAAATGGTGATTTTTATGTACAATATTTTCCCTATATATTTTCTTTCACTTTTCTCTCTTTCCCCATATATTCTGGTTTGATAACTTTCTGGCATACCATATTTTCTGGCGTATAAGACGACTTTTGATGCTAAAAAAACATCCCCCAAAAATCGGGGGTCGTCTTATACGCTGGGTATACAGGCAGCGGGGCATCCCAGGCGCGCCTGGGCTGCCCCGCT